AGGAGGAGGATGAGGAGGGTGAGGAGGATGGGAGAGGATGAGGAGGACGAGGACGAGGAGGGGTGGAGGAGGAGTAGGAGGAGAAGGGGAGGAGGAGGAGGAGGAGGAATGAGGAGGAGAATGAAGAAGGGAAGAGAGGATGAGGACGAGGACGCGGAGGAGGAGGAGGAGGAGGAGGAGGAGGAGGAGGAGGAGAGGAGCAGGAGGGCAGGAGGAATGAGGAGGAGGAGGAGCAGAAGGGGGAGGAGGAGCAGGAGGAGAAGGAGGGGGAAACGAGGAGAGGAGGAGGCGGAGGAGGAAGAGGAGGAGTGGCTAGGAGGGGGAGGAGGAGGAGGAGGAGGCGGAGGAGGAGAGGAGGAGGAAGGAGGAGGAGGAATGGAGGAGGAATGGAGGAGGAGGAATGGAGGAGGAGGGGGAGGAGGAGGAGGAGGAGGAGGAAGAATGAGGAGGAGAGGGAGGAGGAATGATACTGCTGATGATGATGATGATGATGATGATGATGTTATGCTGCTGTTGATGATGATGATGATGATGATGATGATGATGATGATGATGATGATGATGATGATGATGATGATGATGATGTTGATGCTGATGCTGATGCTGATGCCGATGCCGATGGTGATGGTGATGGTGATGGTGATGGTGATGGTGATGGTGATTGTGATGATGATGGGGAGGAGGAGGAGGATGAACAGGAGGATGAACAGGAGGAGGAGCAGGAGGAGGAGGAGGAGGGGGGGAATGACGAACAGGAAGAGGAGGAGGAGCAGGAGGAGCAGGAGGGGGAGGAGGAGGAGGAGGAGGAGGAGGAGGAGGAGAAGGAGGAGGAGGAGAAGGACGAATGAGGTGGAGGAGGAGGGAGGAGGAGGAGGAGGAGGAGGGGGAGGAAGTGGAGGAATGAGTAGAATGAACGAGGATGCGGACTGATGATGATGCTAATGAGACTGATGGTGATGATGACGTTGATGATGATGATGATGATGATGATGATGATGATTATGATGATGATGATGATGATGATGATGATGATGATGATGATGACGATGATGATGATGATGCTGCTGCTGCTGCTGATGATGATGATGATGCTGATGATGATGATGATGATGATGGTGATGATGATGATGATGATGGTGATCATGGTAACGATGATGATGCTGACGGTGCTGCTGATGATGGTGATGATGATGATGATGATGATGATGATGATGATGATGATGATGATGATGATGATGATGATGATGACGGTGATTGCACGAAATATCTTGCACAGCGTAGATTGCGACGCGTAGATTTCACGAGATATATTGCACAACATAGGTCACGTCAATTTCTTCAGCGCAACATGCACTGCACAACGTAGATTTTCCGCTCAAAATGAGTATTCAGATGTCCCCCCCCTCCCCCCAACAAGAACTGAACGGTTCCACTTGTACATACCATTGTGCCCCCTCGTCCATCCTACACATGAGTTCATACCATCCCAGGCAGGCCGGTATCGCCCCCCCCCTCGCCCTCTGCAAATAGTGCTATGCGCGCGCGCTGGTTGATGAACAATCAGAAGTTGTCCGATATCCCTTGCAACAGATGGGGCGGAGTGCAACCACGCGCGTCGTCGCGCGCACATGCCGAAATCCTTCAAAAACGCCCTTTTTCGTACGTAAGGATTTTGAATTCGAGTGTCCCAAAAGCACATAAGCACACATGGTTTCCCAACGCTAATTTTCAAGAAAAGCTTGCGCCAGGCCTCTTGCGAATCCTTACGAAAAGCATAGGCTGTTTGTTCAACATGTTCATCAATTTGTACCAAACGTGCCTCTCGCGCGCGCATGTTGGAGTCGATCGAACCCCTTCGCGCGCGTGCTGTCGCAATATTCCCTTGCAGCAAACGGGGCGAAGTGCGCGCGCGTCGTCGCGCGCGCATGCGGGAATTCAGGAAACTTGAGGCTTCGTAGCGATTTCAAAAGCTAGTGCCTCGGAGCTATATATATATGTGTGTGTATATATATATATAGCACACACATGGCTTTGCATCATCAGTATTCAATGATGTCTGCGCTCGCGCTCCTGCGAAAGGCAACCACAGTTTTCGTGTGTTCAACATGTTCGCTACATTCTGCCAAATGGGCATCTCGTGCCGCATGTCGAAATCATTCGAACGCCCTTGCGCGCGTGTTGGGGGGGAGGGGGCGCGATCCGTGTCAAACGACACCATGCGGGCCACTCTCGCACGTCGGCCGCGTGCCTGTCGAACTCCTTCCAAAACCTTCATCACCGACCCGAGGATGCCGTCATCGTCGTCGGCGCGATCAGCATCGGCGCCGTCATTGGGCTTGCCGTCATCGTTGTCATCATCGTCACCAGGATCGCCACTACCGTCATTGTGTCGGCGGTTGTCGACGTTGCCATCATACCGCTCCAGCCCGAGTCGCCGACTCGCGCTGAACTGCCCGCTGGGACTCTGCGGCCGCGTCGGTCGCGCCACACTAGCTGGTCGGTGCGTGCGCGAGCATGCACGGGCTAGCGCGGCCGCAGAGATGCACCCGCCAACGCCAAGCACTCATCGCAATCGCCGTCGCATGGGCTTTGCCAACCAAGTTGCGGGTGGGTGGGTGGCATGATTGTGCGAGTAGTGGAGTTTGCAATTCACTGCGAACAATGGTGGCTTGCACAACATAGGTTGCGCCATGCCGATCGAACCACATAGATTGCACCACGCATCTTGCACAGCACACGTTGCACCACATATATTGCACCACGTAGTGTGCACAGCGTGGGTCGCACGACATATTTTGCACGACGCATGCTGCACAACGTAGGTCGCACCACCTAGATTGCATCACGTAGATTGGACTGGCGCTGCATAGCGTTCAATGCACCACATAGATTGTTCCACGTGCATTGCGCAACACAAATGCTTATAACCACTGTGTTGTGGGCCCGCGCTGGCTAACAGTGCCCCCTCCCCTCCGTCCCTGAAGCGGTCGCAAAAGTGTGAGGCATTCGGTACGTCGTAAGGCGATAACCACAGTTTGAAAACAGACCCCTTCAGCCTTGAAGCTGTCGCGTATGTTTAAGACGAATGTGCGCGGCGCTGATGCGAGAGCCACATATTGAACATGAGCCGCCCTCCATGTTTGAATCAGTTACAAACATGTGATATGAATGCACGCGGCGCTAAGGCGATGGCCGCAGTTTATTCAACATATTAAACACAATGGGCCGCTTTCCATCCGTATAACGGTGACCGAATTTTTGGACGAATGTGCGCGGCGCTAAAACGAGAGCCACATTTGGAACATCGTCCGCCTTCCATCCTCGAAGTTGTTGCAAATGTCAGTCTTCAGGGTCGCAAGTGGTGGGGAAGTCTCATGCGAACCGCACGGCCCGCCCTACCGAGTCGTCTTGGGGTGCGACAGGGAGAAGTTCTGTCTAAGGAAAAGGGGGAAGGAGGCGGAGGAGGAGGAGGAGGAGGAGAAGGAGGAGGAGGAGGAGGTAGGGCTGCGCCCCGCTGAGGGTACCAGAGCGGAACAGGAGGAAGAGGAGAAGGAGGAGGAGGAGGCGATTGAGTACGAGGCTCAGTGAAGTCATACGTTAGGTGATGCACGTGATGCTAAGTATCACTGTGTGCGGCAGGGCCCGTGGCGCCCACCTCCAGAGCTCGTTTCTGGTGGAACGAGAAGGCTGACGTCTCTTCCCTGGTACAAGGTGGCTAACGGCTTGTGGAAGCTGGCGTCGCGTAGGGGTGGGGCTTGGGCACGAAGATGCCCACCTGCCTTTGTCCGTTCTTCGCCGGGTTGCTAGTTTACCGCAGTGCCTACACCAGCGCCGCCACACGGTAGTTTAGAGTCCCACGGGAGACTTCTCGCGCAGAGCGTTCATTTCAGCTGCCAAAGCAGACCCGTTTTGAAACGCAACCCGTACCGTGCCTAAAACGTCCGTGCCAGTACGTTGCGTGTTGGCTCAGCGTTTTGGCCCACGTTTTGGTGAACGTACCGCGTCATGCCTATGTTTTCGGTCCGTCCGCGTGTTGAGCTCCGTATCCATGCCCTACGTGTTGCGTGCTGCGTAGCGGGGCAACCAAGCTGGGGGTGGCTCGCGTCGGAAAAAGTAATTCGCCGGCGGCGGGTCCGCCAGCGGAAAAGCCGGCGGACTGCAGTGGGAAGCCGGCAGAAGGAAACACAAATCGTCCCCGAGGGTTTGCTTTTTCTTTTTTGTTGATCCAGGGCTTTCCAAGCCCACCATTCCATCGGTTGGTTTTCTCTTGCTGATTCAGGGTTTGCCGCTCGTTTCTCTGTTGACTCCGGGGTTCTCAAGCCCGCCACTCCATCGGCTTTGGTGAGGCCCATGGTGCCCGAGAGCCCCGCGAAGTTGGCAGTGCGCGCGGCGCCCTTCTGTGCCCCCCCGTCCCGCGCACGGGGACGTCGCACCCCCGCTCTGGGGGAGGTGGGCTCTGGGGGCCGCCCTCCCCGCACGTGCTGCGCCGGGCGTGGTGGGGGATCTCCGCTGAAGCCGACAGGTTCGAGCACTTCGCTTCCACTCGCCTGGGGAGCCCTCCAGCATGAAGGGGGGAGAGGGAGGAGGGGAGGGTCGAGGGGGAAGAGAGAGAGAGAGAGAGAGCAAAGGAGCCAGTCTGGGGGATGACACATGCCATCAGACTCTCCTCCCCCCCTATACTGTATTCCCTCTCCCTTCCACCTCCATCTTCGCCCAGCTCCCGTCCTCACCCTTTCATCACCTCCCTCCTCCATCCGCGTCTGGCAGCGTGCAGTCCGACTGGCCTCCCCCCACCCTTCCCTCACCCCTCTTGGTTGAGAATGATCGCGAATCCGGCTGCAAGCATGAAAAGCCCCCGCTCCCACCTACTACCGTCTCTCGCCCCTACATGCTCCTCCCTTCTCTGCCTCTCCCCTCCCCTCTTCCTTCCCTCCCTCCACTCTCGATGCCTCCCCCGCCCGTCTCCATACCTCACTCTTCCTTCCCGCCCGGACTTTCAGGTGAAGCAGGATCTGCAGCAACGACTGCAGCAGCAGCTCACGCAGCTGCAGTCGCGGACGGTGGAGCAGAAGCAGGATTCGCCACAAACGAAAATATACACAGACACCCTCCACTGGATGTCCTGGGCCTCAGGGGAGGGTGGCGGTGTATAAATCACAACTGAGAGCCAGCGACTTTACACCGTCCCCTCCCTGAAGGTACATGCAAAGTTCGTCGGATGGTGTCAGTGTATATACATCTACATATACATACATATATATATATATATATATATATATATATACACATACATACATACATACATACATACATGCATGCATGCATGCATGCATGCATGCATGCATGCATACATACATACATACATACATACATACATACATACATACATACATACATACATACATACATACATTTTCGTGGCGTACAGGAGCAGTCGCCTCAGTCTCTGTCGCAGGCGCAGCCAGAGACGTGGAAGCAGATGAAGGAATCGCAGCCCGTGGAGCGGCAGCCAGATTCCCAGCCGCCTGAGCCGCAGTCGCTGCTGCAGGATGCCCAGCCGCAGGCGCGGCAGGCACAGCAGGAGCAGCAGCCGCTGCAGCAGCAGCACCAGCAGCAGGAGGCGCAGAAGCAGGATCTGCCGCAAGCACAGCTGGAGCTGCAGCAGGCACAGCCAGGGTACGGCCAGCCGGTGCACTACGGCCAACAGGTGCAGAACGGGTACAGTCGGCCGCCGCAGTACAGCCAGCCTGTGCAGTATGGCCAGCCGGTACAGTACAGCCAGCCGCCGCCGCAGTACAGCCAGCCAGTGCAGAGCAGTCAGCCAGCGCCGTACGGCCACCCACATTACGCTCCACACAACATCATGGAGGCGGGACCGACGGTTTGGAGGCATGGGAAGGACCTGGACGTGGCTCCAGGGTGTGTGGGTTCGTGGGAGGTGGAGGGAAATCAGGAAGGAGGAGGAGGCGGAGGAGCAGGAGGAGGAGGATGATGATGATGAGGAGGAGGAGGAGGAGGAGGAGGAGGAGGAGGAGGAGGAGGAGTAGGAGGGGGAGGAGAAAGAGGAGGAGGAGGGGGACAAGCTAGGTGCGCTCGCGTCATGTCTGACGTCCTACCCCTCCCTCCCATCGCTTACCATGGCGTAGATCTCCTCTTTATTCGCACAATCGGATATCCCAACATGGCATAGCATTACATGGCATAGCATGGTGTTGACGATCAACGCGTTTTATGACATAGCATGATGTGGCGACGCCCCAAAGTGAGTGGGGTTTCTGCGGCCCAAAAAATCAACGAATCGACACTGAATGTGTAATCACGTCCGATGGTTTTTCAGGGGGGGAGGCATTTTCTAGATTTTGGCGCCTATTTTGGAAGGACCGAAAACACCATGCCGTGGAATGGCGCTGGAAATAATGATACCGGAGAACACCAAAACCCCAATCATAACATTTTTAGGGCTAGAGGGCGATTGGGCTATAGGGCTTTAGGGTGAATTATTCGGCTATGGGGCTATATGGCTATAGGGCTATAGGGCTATAGGTCTATAGGGCTATAGGGCTATAGGACTATAGGGCTATAGGGCTGTAGGGCTATAGGGCTATATGGCTGTAGGGCCATAGGGCTCTAGGGCTATGAGGCTATAAGGCTATAGGGCTACTGGGCAAAAAGGCTATTGGGCTATGGGCCAAAAGTGCTATTGGGCTATGGGGCTACAGGGCAAAAGGGCTATCGGGCTATAGGGCTATAAGGCACCCGGGCACCCGGGGAACCGGCGGCGAACTTAGCACCCCGGCACCGGGGAAGTCGGTGGCGAACCTCTAACCTTATGAATCCGTTAGGACCCTTTCAGAGGCAAGCTCTGATTGGGGAATGACGCCACGCCTTGCAGTGGGAGCAAGATTCGGGACGAGCGGAAGCGCGGAAATGAGACCAGCGCCGCAGCGGGAGCACGATTCGGAACGAACGGTAGCCCGAAAATGACGCCAGCGCTTCAGCGAGAGCAGCATTATGAAAAAAAACAGCGCGGAAACGCGGAAATGAGGACGCGTAGCCTGACATAGCATGGCGTGGCGATGCCCTCAAAGGGGGACTTCTGCGGCCCATAAAATCAACGAATCGACACCGAATGTGTAATCATGTCCGATGGTTTTTTCGGGGGGGCATTTTCCAGATTTTGGGGCCTATTTGGAAACAGTGACGCCTGCGCTGCAGCGGGAGCAAGATCCGGGACGAGCGGAAGCGCGGAAATGAGGCCAGCGCCGCAGTCGGAGCACGATTCGGAACGAACGGTAGCCCGAAAATGAGGCCAGCGCTTCAGCGAGAGCAGCATTATGAAAATTATCCCAGAGCGACCCTACCTAGGAGTTGGAGTCTCTAGGAAAGCAACATTAGTAGGAGCGGTGAACGCCGTCCTCCTCCTTCTCCTCATCGTCGTAGTTGTAGCAGTAGCGGTAGTAGTAATAGTAGTGGTAGTAGTAGTAGTAGTAGTAGTAGTAG